ATTCCAAAAAACATTATCTCAAGGTAAAACATCCGCCTGTCCACATGCTTCCAATTCCTGCTTAACTATAAACAAAATGCTACGAAAAATCATCAGTACTAAAGCAACGACCTTGAATGCTGTCGTAGTCGTGAGTTCCAATAGCAACTAAAGTACGTTTTCTGCATATATTTTGATGCAGCTTATCTTGCAGATCAATAAATGAAGCATACGAATCAGAATCTAGAGTTATATTGCGCAAGAGAGCTGCAACAATTACAGGCCTTACACTCGCGACTTCCGGGAGTACTACTATCCTCTCCCTTTTTTCAACTGGAAGAACCTTGTAATTAGGTTGTTCAATTCTGAAACCGCTTAGATTAAAGATGTGATAAATGAAACTCTAATTCTTCATATTCTAACTTTTATAAACTTCACAAATGTGATCAAACACCAGATAAATAGAAGTACTTCGTATAAGAAAGCTAATAGTTCACCGTGAGTGAAAGATTTTCAAAGCTCTTGCTAAACCTTCTATTGACAACAGATCATATCTATTCGCAGGCAGCTCAATTTTATAAACTTCTTCTTCACATAGGCCTTCAGCAGCCTTTTCACCTTTTTCTTTTTCCACGGCACATTTTTCGCTCGTCTAAAAAAATGAATTAATACAGCTCAAATTAACTAATGTAAACCAAAAATTTGAATTGCACAACTTTCGGAATATTACTGGCATTTGCCAGGAAGATTTTGAGGGAAAACTAATTTTTTAGAAAGCACATTTTACTGAAATTTCACTTTTTTAAAATCTTAACACCCTCAAATGCAAATACAAATATTTTTTAATTTGCGTATCTAAAAATCTTCCTTTGCTTTAGTAAAGAAGGCATACCACTTCATCTAACTCCAAGCCGTAATCAAAACATAATTCATCAAATTCCTCTTCAGCTGAAACAACGTCTTTTTAAGTTTCATTAAGCGCTCGAACTTGTAAAACAAACACGAAGATAACAAAATATATAAATTTTGTAGAAGCTGTTGCTCCGTGAGGAAAATAACTGGTGCTGGGTTTTTCGATTCTCACCTAACGATAGTATAGGAGATGCTAGTCAAAAGTTGCTGAATTAAAAATTTTTTATCGTGTTTAAAAAATTACGTAGCGTGACTGTTATGGTAAAATCCCAATAAACTTGAACTCACTTATCGGATGCCCCAAGTGTTTCTCGATGACGGCTTTCCGTATGCCAATCGTGGGCATTTTATAAATTACCCTGTAAGGAGTAAGCTATGAAACATCCCCAAAAAGGACCAGCTTTGGCTTATCCACTTCATATTTTGGCCGACACTTACGGGGAATGAAGTGAGAGCTTTCTTTAAGTTAAATGATGAAGAATGCATATAAGAAACAAAACTCAAAATAAATTTATTCTTACTTAGAAGGCAGTAATGTGGATAGTAAGATTCTAAAAATCACGAGACACCAAGAAAGATTCTAACACAAATAGGTGTGAACTCGCCACATGAGACAATTTCCGACCATACCGGATACTGCCTTCTAATGCAGAAAAATTAGAAGGAAAAGCAAAAACTACACAAACGTAAAAATAGACAGAGAAAAAATAATATAGTCACCTCTAACGAATAAAAAAATTACTGACCAACCCTATGAAAATTTTCCACTAACATCCAAGCAAAACAAATTTTAGAACAGTAATGTTCTCCCCAGCGTTATCCACTCTTGCTTCAGGACTGTCTATCAAGAAAGTCTGAGAAATTTACCAGTTTAAAACTGCAGTTTACAATTCATTACTGAACGTGGCCACCAACTCCTGAACTAAATAGCTAAAAAAATTTGCTTTTTTAATTGTCAGATACTGTAAAGAGGCAACCACAAGAATGGTCAGGCGGACCGCTCTTCTCGGGCCACCGGATTAATTTTTTTTCTGCCACAAGTGATTTTCTAAAAAAAATTGCTTTTATCAAAGACTTATGCTTTAACTCAGTTTTTTCAAGCTGGAGAGCTTGTCATTCCTTCCCGTATCACTATCACTTGTATATTTTTATTAAGCTCATGGACATGGCTGCTGCGCCACTGAACTTCCCCTCTATAGTTAGTGCATAAGTACCACTGGGCAGTGCCCGCTGCAAGAAGAATGAGGCGACTAAACTTAAAAAGGGTCAAAATTATTTGCGGAAACAAAAGACTGGTGAGACAAATAGATGGTCAGCAAAAACAAACTCAGTCTATCCCTGCTGCTGAATCAGTTGCTATATCTAACATTGATATATATATACCTAGTAATAGTACATATAACCTTTTGAATTATAATTCTTGATAAAAATGCTGAACCTAACTCCTTTTAGTTTAACAGATCAATTAAGATTTTCCTGAGTACGATTGTATCTGAGGGTACAGCAGTGAACCGCAGAGTATTAGCGAATTTAAAGCGTGAAGGAGAATTGAGGTCCTGGAGGAAATCCGACTTCTGTGGAATTTTGCCAAGAAAAGATAAGAGTGGTGGTGGAGGCTTAGTTTTGATTCGCAGTTCGTCACTGTTGCCGCTTGTTGTCGTGGAATTGGACCTCTGTGATACAGTGGACTGGGTTGTTTGTGCATATCGTTCACTCTGGAGCTTGGAGAAGTGGTGGTCTATGAATATATATATATATGGCCCGTGTTAGTTTTCTATGTCGGCAGCAGTTGTATTCTATTAATTCCAGTTACGAATGAATGTCCTTTTAATTTGTTGTCGTAATTTATTTGGCTGCCATACGAGATGACCGGGCAGAAATTTGCGTACATTCAAAAAATGAGGAGCTCCGATAAAATGACTATATGGAAATAATCTGTTCATAAACTATTAACATGACACCTTTGTGTCGTTTCATAACAACTGATCATATGAGTTCGCGTTCTTATGATGAGTATGATACCTCACAGCCTGCATTTTTTAATCATTTTTGAAAAAATTCTGGTGCTCTTTGCAAAACAATTATACTAAAACTTTAGTTTCTAAAAAAACTCGGTGGAGGAAGATATATTTTGGATGTTGAAAGGACGTAAAAAAGTAACCCAGTCTAGTGACAAAATATTAGCAGTTTACAAGTGGTGCTGTTCTCTCTGCCGTTTAATTCTCTTTTTTTTTGACTACACTTCTTGAAAAGGCACTCAGACGCTTATGCTATTGTATGAGCTTGTTTTCTGAACAGTACCGTCCAGTAACTTGTTCGTCGTCACCCATGTGCAACTACTCATTTTCCACCCATTACCCAGTTATAAAAAATTAAAAAGCAAGAAACTAGGATACGTTAGTATATTTTAACGACCTCGTCTTATCATAATTAGACTTACATTGCAGTTCATTATGATGAATCAAAAGAAGTCGGCTCACTGAACAGTTGCGTAATAAACTGCCAGAAGAGAGGCCATTATACTACAGCCTGCTGACCGAGTTTGAAAAAAAAAACAAAATTGAACCCTAAGAGGCAACCAGTCATGAGCACCTGGAACATTGAAGATACTTTTTCTTGAATTCACTGCAGTTTTCCTCTTTTACATCTGGGAACTTTTTGGAACGGTTATTAGCGAAACTAGTCGATAGAACTTTGTTCTCAAATTTTTTACCAACCACTTTTTTCCTTTACGCTTTTTTTCCTTACATTTTGAAGACGAGAATTTGACAGATCCGTGATTCAATTTTTCTGTATACTATTCTTTCCAGCATTACGAAAGACCACTCAAAAACTGAACTTATTGACCAAGCTTAAGAACGAATTGATCAAAGTGTTGACAGAAAATCATGAGGCTGTAATTTTTTGTTTTTTTTATCTTGATCGGTAAGTGACTTTTCAGAAATCTAGCAATGGCTTCAAAACTTCGAAATTGTTCAATTTTCACTTCAGACGATGGACGTGTTGTATTACAATTTTTAACTTTAGTTGATTTTATTATCTTTCAGTTTACGGATCCCGCTACGGTGCTGCTCTTCCTCTGTGTCATAATCCTTTAAAGGAGTCCATTTTTCTTTCTGTTACTCTAACTATAAAGAATTTTCTCTCTCTTTAATTCCTGTACATTTGTTCCTTTATCAAATTGTGAACTTCGTTTAATTTAGTCAACTGTAGGTTGTACAGTTTAGCAAGATGGTTTTTGTTGAGAACTAATAGCAATACTATCAGCTGCATTTCTCTTAAAAATTAATGCTGCTTTTCTTTATTCTTGAAATATTTGGTATTGTGAGTGAGCGGTGAGAATTTTCAGCGATTTAAACACGGCAAGTTTATAAGATAAGATTTTATTGCTGCAAAAAGGCACTTTTTCATGATAAGGTGGGGCGCTTTTTTTACTTCATTCACCTTCAGTTTTCTTCCTTGTTCTGGTTCAAATATAATTTTAGAACTATTATGACGGCTTTTAACCGAGCCAGAAAAGTCAAAAAGAATAGGTAATATAAGACTAGAAAAATCTGAGCTTATATATAAGAAATCAATCTTAGGAAATTGGCAGATAAGAACAGTACAGTAAGGCAACCATCAGGAAATAACTTTTAAGCATGTAGTTTGCAATACGGGGCACCGTTCTTTGCATAGAAGCTTTCACCCTCCAAATTTACGTTGCACGCCTGGAAATTTTTAGTTAGTTTTTAAATTTTTAGTGATTTTAGTCCAGTAAAAGCAAATTTTATGACTTGTACGAGGTACTTACTGTGCAGTTGAAGCAGTTGGAATGGAACGCAGATCCTAGTGCTTCAACCCATCGATCGCCAGCTTCTATCGGGTAGTTGCATGCGAAGCACCGGGTGGTGAACAAAGCGTTCCAATCTGTAATAAACCACTTTGATTACGGTTTTTTCAATTACACCTATCAAAGCAGCTTTTTTGATTAGTTCGTCTCATCGGATAAAACCGCCATAGAAAACTGCATTTCTTTAAAATTAATTACGGAAAAACTAATGTTAAAGAATATTACCATTCTCACAATACGGCTGTCCTTGTTCAAGGAAGAAAGCCGAGTTACCAAACGGTCTTTGACAGTGAGTGCAGACAAAACATTCTGGATGCCACTGCTTTTGAAGCGCATTCAAGCAGTCCTAAAAATTCTTGACTTACCATAAAGTACTCTAGTTTCAGATAATTTAAATTATCCTACATTATTATTACTGTTTATAGTGAAAAGTCTTGATAGACGTAGACTCATTCCATTAGGGACAGGAGATCATTTATTTCAAGGACGGCGTTATCTCTCTAGCGTCATTTTACACTTTTAAATACAGAATCAGTAATAGAACAAAAAAATACTTACAGCTATAATTGGTCGATTACATTTTGCACAATGTGGTGCAATTAATGTTTCGAAGCATTGCTCGCAATATTTTTGTCCTTTCTCTTCTACAAAGCCAATTTCTAGGAGTTTCCGATTACAGGCTTTATTTGCACAAACGAAATGGTCAGGACAATAGGCTAATCCATTAGCAAGAACATACGCTCCCCTACATCAGAGAAGTAATTTGAATTTAACGGAATGAAGGGCGAGAATAAAAACAGAGATTTTAACAATCTTTAATCAAAAATTTTCCTGACAGAGAAAAGTTTTCCGCCATGGATTATTGCGTCATTATTTTTTCTACCGAAGACAATTGCAGTAGTTATCAGGCATTAACTTCATTAAACATATCCGGTACAACGGTAATAAAAAACTTTAATAAAAAAAGTAATAAAAGACTTCTAGCCGTTCTCACCTGATCTGTGCTCTGCACTGCTCACAGTATGGTATTCGACTGCCCTGAGATTGAAGTGTTCCTCTGCCTCTTATGTTGTCACCACTCTGAGAAATATGGCGTTCGGTTACTCGGGACGAAACTGTATTATTGTTTATCGCTGAAGGAGTACAAGAATATTACTGCAAAATCTAGAATTTCTTTCAAAGCATCGGTGGTTACAAGGTGGATAATTTAAAGTAGTGGCATTTCAAAAGGCCGAGCAGATCAGTCTTATAGAAACGCTAGAAAAGGAAGAGCACTTCATTGGTAAACGGTGTGAACTATTAAGGTTTGAGAGCATTAAAAATTATAGTTAAAAAACAGTATATATTTTTATAAATATTAGAGATTACAGTTCAAAAAAAAATGATTTTATAAAAAAAGTTTTTCCCACTTAAATGTAAAACTTTTTTAAGCGTAATTATAGTACTAATCGTGTTTCCAAAAAATACTTTCAGAAACTATATCATTATATAACGGTTAATAGGAGGGTTTTAAAGATGTTCATTTATCTAACCCTTCAATCTGTCTTAAACATGCAAAAGAGATTTGAAAACATGCAACGCCACGTACAACTCTGACGGATTTCAAGATTCTGCAAGGCGTTAACGATCTTGTCAGATGGTGTCTCAATTTCATGGCCTGAACTAGGTATTGACGTCCCTAGAAGTCGATCATCGCCTCCGACTGACTTTACTTCTCTTGAAGTTGTTATCTGGCTTCTTCGTTCTACAAATTGGTTCTTAGTCAGCAAGGTGATGCAAGTGGAATTTATTGTGAAACGTGTTGGGTTAGCTATTTCTAAATTTTTCACTCCAATTAGAAAAATTAATTCTCAAAGTTCTTTACTTTCCACTAAATTTTTTCCTAGGATCAAGTTTGCTATGATCCATTTGCAGTCGGTCTTTGCTAGTTACAACTTATGCAACCAGAATAAGAAAGAAAATGGGACTAAAAGAAATGAGCATAAAACAGCTAATTTGTTTTCTGACTATTGTTTCATTAAAAAAAGATAAGCAACTCGATTATCTACATAAACGTAATAGTATTAGCATCCTTTATGGCTTTTTCCGTAAAAAGAAAAAAAGAAGTCATTGCAATACAGTGGTGGTTTGAATGAGAACAGCAATAGTACAAGCAGTACTCAGGAGCCTCAACACTGAACTGTCCAATCTACATGTCAGTCTTAGCAATGAGCCTTAGTAAGTAAATGGTGACACACTTAAACAACGGGGATTAAGACCTTCTAAAAAATTTGTTTCTTCGATAGCCAGCCCTAAAGACTTCAAGGAGTGCTAAGCAACTACCATAACTGGTTATTGGAAACGTTTCTGGACAGTTGGTAAAGAGGCACTGCAACATGCACAGAAATTCCAAAAACATAATAATTAGGACAGGACTGCAGACATGCAACAAAGAACATACAATCTAACTCCCGGATAGCCCTCATAATTCTTGCCGACGGAGTATCAAAATCCGCAAAAGTACCAGTCCCACGGTCTTCGTTTTCCGATACTTTAGATTCAGTTTTAGAACTTATGCCAGTCGTTTCGATCCCATGCTCCTGCTCCTCACTATCAGAGTTTACGTTATCATACTGTTCCACTTCCTCAACCTTTTCCCTGCGATTTTTGTTTAATTTTTTCAGGTTCAAATTATTGGCAGTAGATGTATTTCAAATGTTTGAAATTATAGTTTATCCTTGTGACTAATGCAAAGCGGTCATCTTTAATAACTAACGTCAAAATTTTGGAAACTACTGCGTCGGTAAAAGTTGCAAAAATTACTGAACTCATAACATCATAATCCGATAAGACAGACTCTTGAAGAACATCATCGAAACTATTTAAATAGCTCTATATTTCAAGAATTTGTCGGTTTTATTCACTATCAATTTTCAACAACTTCATTATTTCAATTTGAACAGTTTTGCATTTTTTGCAGCCTTTATAATCACTAGGTCGGAAAATGTTTCTCACCTGGTACAGGGCTCCGGAGACCGCTTAAGACCCTCAGTATCAAGGTTTTTCAAAAAAACGATCGCATTGTCCAGCAGCTGCGACAACTGGACCTGCTGTTCTCGAAGTTGCCTTTGATGTCGTTCAATGCTTTCAATAGCCAATCTTTTATCGTTTTCATCTTGAAGCCTCATCTTTTCCAAGTCTTTAAGTTTCTCAAACTCTCTTAAATCGTTTTCTTTTCTTAAATCTCTAGTCGTTTCAGTTTTTTCACCGACTTTTGACATTGCTCCATTTCTAACAACAGTTTCTTTCATAAAATCTCCGTCATTTTGGAAAATTTTCGGCCTATCTTCGAAAGTTTCATGCCAGACGATACTCTGTGGAAGACTGTGTTCAGTTAGTCGAGAGATATTCAAATTCCGATATTCTTCGACTCTCCGAATATCATCCAACCTTTTTTGCTCTGCTTCAAAACTAGACTGTTTTTTCATAGCGGGTCTCGAACTATGAATACTTCTTCGAGGAACATCTGGCTTTCTTACACTTTCAGTGATCTTTTCACTAACGTCGTAACGGCGCAGTTCTTCAAGATGTTCCACCTCCATTTTTGCATCTCGTTCACTTTCTCTTTTCGCCTCCTCGACTTCTTCCTTCATCCACAGTTCTTTATCCTCGTCTAACGTACTTTTATTCTCTTGCTGTTTGCTTACTGAGTCATAACAAGCTCCATTTTCATGAAAAGTTCCCTCTGCATCTTGCTGTTCCTCTTCGTAGCCTGAATTTGGTACCTTTCCGGCCTTCTGGTCATTGTGGTTATCTTCTGTATCCCGTTCTAACCCTCCCGCTGTAGTGCCAGACTCTTCGTAATCACAGAAGTAGCGCGCACCCTTCTCCAGAAATTCTGTCGTGTCTTTATCAAACGGCGGCAATGAAACACTTTCATCCTCACCATTATTTTGAGCGAAATTTTCCTCAGTTGCTAGATCGCCTTCTTCCAAAATTTCTGCTGAGTTGGTCCAGGGTTGCAGGTTCTCTGAGGTATTTATTGTAAGAGGGGGAGCAAATGTTAAAAGGGTTTGTTTTGAATCTTGGAAGTGAGCAATATTACAAGTAGACTCATTTGTTGTATTCGGCTCTACTTCACCGTCTTCCTGTACTGTTCGCTCAGAGGCTGAAACTGTATCATCGCCATGTTGTTCAACCCATTCTGGCTCACGACTAACACTCGCTGTACTTTCAGAGAGTTCTTGGTGCTCTTCCAATTTTTCAATTTGTTGGATCACCCTACAGTCCGGAGAAGCATCGTGACTCAGAATACCATTTATTTTTTCTTTTTGACTTTCATTGTAATAATAAGCATTAGGCTGTTTTATCTGAGATACAGCTCTTGCACTTTCACGCAGGAGATGTCGTTTTGGACTAGGAGGCTTTTTTCGCTTCTCATCCAATTCTCTAATGTAGCTTGTTAGTGAAACTACCTTTTCATTTGCAGGTGGAAGTGTTTTGTTTTCATATCTCCAAAATTTCCTCACTGCTGGAGATTCTGGAGGCCATTTGCGTGTTGAGGGTCGTCTTCGTGGAGACGTTGCAGAATGAATTTGTTCCGGTAGCGGAGCGTGCTTGGTCAGATCAAAGGCTCGTATTTCTTGACAATCTATTGAACAGCTGACTGTACAAATCCAGTACGCAAACACATAGACATGCAAGATTCAACAAAACAACGTTTGAAGACAAGGACAAGCTTATAACGTAATAATTGGAAATAATACAAGCAATTGGACCAGACTTCAATGGAACCAAGTGTTTATACAAAACAAAAAAATACATCCCAGTAAGTCTTTGCCTTTACACGCCTTTATCCTATTATTTTTTAAAGCAAAAGATTTAATTTCAACTTTTAATGTTTTAGTGAATGGTAAAAAGTGGACAATGAATAACTATTCATTGTCCACTTTTAACTAAACTTTTAAGAATAACTATCATGGATGTTTATAAACTTTTAAGCTTGTTGCCTTTGCTGGCACAGCTGAAACAGATACCAGTTACACCGATTTTTCGGATCTAAAAATGTTATTTTTTCATTACTTTCCTGCATAAAATTTCTTACCAATAGATGTCGTCAGCGGTGGTTGGGCAGAATAGCTTTCAGTTTTTAAGTCTGTTCCATACTGCACAGCAGAATGAGGTACACCTCTGTTGCTTGGGCTTAAAAATAGATTCAAAAAGTTGTTCGTTTGCAGTTTTTGTTAGATCTTGGCATTAAAATGAAAGAGTAAATAATTTGTTAAAAAATGACTGCTCTTGCAACTAAAGTTTTTTGAGAATAGCTTTACTTTTCTTAAATTTTTAAATAACTCACAAAGGCAAAAAACTTATGTGACACATTGTACTTTGAAACAATTCGCTGATTTAGCTATTGGCAGTTCACAATTTCGACTTACTTTAGAACAAGAATTTTATATAGGCATGTAATACTAGTAGCGTTAGAGTCATATATGAAAGCTTCGTCAAAAAATGCTTACCTTATAGGGCTCTGTGTCTTCCATGGTGTTGGGCTTATCGAAAGTGGCCTTCTAGCCATGATATCTGGTTGATAAAATGCACGAACGTTTTCCTGGTTCCGTCTAGGGCTTGCTGCCGTCGGAGAGCTGCGTCTAAAAAAAAAACGTGTCAAGGAGGCTGGTACTTCTAACAAGGTTCAGTATTATGTTGCACACCGGAAAGCAAAAAAGTCACACTTTTTGCAAAACGCTTCTCAAAGAAACCACTGAAAAGCTGGTAGTATTTACGACTTCAAAATTGCTTTAGTAATTCAAGTAACAGAAAAATCTACCAATTTTACTCCTTAAACTACCATTATTTCTTTCTCGGGAAAGGTAATTGACATGTTGGCTAAAATATTTCTAATATAGACTTAGCTCTCACAAGAAATAGGAAATAAATGACAAAACAACTGAGGCTTTAAATGTGAAACAACAAGACAGGCAATTGGTTGCAAAACTAAAAACTCCTTGTAGCAAACTGGAAAAAGAAGTGTGGGACTGTTATGAAAAATTGCTTCCAAAAACTTTTTTGACTGTACTTTCAAATGGGGAAGTCCACATTAAAGTAAATAAAGTGGATAAATGCACCGATCACTGCGGGCTGAGGATATTGCTGTTAAGGAGGTTTACTTACACAGCAAGGTCCGGATGAAGTGATGGGGCCGTCAGTGTATTCCGAGAATCGAACTGACGTCCGTGAACACCACAATAAAACTTTCCATTCACGAAATGGTGACCTTGGTTTTTCAAAGAAGTTCCGCAAGTGGCACATCGGAAACATTCTGGATGTAGAAAATGATCGAAAGCACGACACATAACGCCTCTGAAAAACCTTTTTATTTCACAAAGGCTTTTCAAGCTGTTTATAAAACTTTTGAAAAAACAGAAATTTTATTCCTTAAAAGTTTTGTACCCAAAATTTCTTAAAAGGGCTTAAAAATTTTCCTCGTAGTACAGAAAGCTACAGAAAGTTTTTCATAGAAACAAAGTCTCTGATCAGGTAAAAAAAACACCATCCTCCCCTGATCAATTGGAAATTTTCTACGATTTTCTATCCACATTGCACTTATCACATTAGGAAAAACAGCTATAATTTGGTTCACTAAGATCCAGTAACTCCTTCCAAGAGCACTTTGAGACAAAAACTACTAGCACGTCACATTCCGACTTCTGTTCGGCAAGGATTTCCCCTTCATCAGAAAACCCTGGCTTGACACTAAATGACTTTGCAAGAAGCATTTTTGGTTTGACTGCGAATTTGCTACTACCTGTTCTCTGTCTATGCTTTAACCTTATGAAACATGAACTAGTTAAAATAAAAAGAATAACCAAACCGGGCTTTTTAAAGCCAAGGATTTCTCATGGCTCTTTAAGAAATATGCATTTTTTTGTTGCCCTTCAAATTTTTTTTAAGGAAAGAATGGATCCAACACTTAGTTTAGCAGCTCAACGGCGTGAGAGCGAGTTAAATAAACAGTTATTTTAGACTCATTTCAGATATATGAGTGTAGCAATGAAATTTCAGAGATGATTTCCTGTATGAAATATGAAAATTACTTTTTTTTTACTATCTGGAAGAAGAAAGTTGATTGCTTAGTGCCATAGGAGTGAGCTACTTTTGTCTACCTTATTCATGACCATGAATGGGTATTGTTTCACCGTACCGCTGAACGCAATTAAATTTTGATTAGTATATTTTTACAATTCCCGGTTTTCTTAAAGCTTCGTTTACATTCCGATAGGGTTTCACCAATGCTGTTAAGAAACGGTGGACAAATACAGTAGCTTATTTAGAAGCTAAAAAATAATAGCCGGACTTCATTTTTGAGTTCTACGAATAATGGGTCATTAAAAATGTGAGATCCATACCTTCCTTGAGTTTACTGCACGTATCGGTAACTGAAGAGTCAAATCTTTATTAAAACTTAAGCTTTTTCTCTGAAGCACTGCTAGATTCCACACAACTTTCATTACTGATTGCCTCAGTTACTGCAACTTTTCCTGACAATAATTAAACACTGTAGAATGACTAGTACGCTTGCTAGCCTCTAGAACTCCTGATCTATTATTATAAAAGAAAATTTTATCCGCCGAAAAACAGCAGCTAATTTTTTCAACATAGTATTTCACCTCTTTTTACGCTTTTATTCTTGTATTACCGTTACTACAATTAAACTGCATCCCTTTGATCCCTTACCTAAAAGTTAACCTAGAAAAACGCTGCGAGTGTTGTTTGTTGAAATGTTTCGTAATCGTAAGTTTTTTAATATAATGTCTCTTATGAGATTGCTGAAAATAATACTCAAAAAAATACTCGTTTTTTCTTGTCCGACAACATCAATGAAAAACCCTCGTACAATCTAAAAACCTTTTAGAAAAATACTAAACGATGCTTAAGGAAGTTTACTTTTGCAGTAGTGCGTTACCAAAATATTGCAAAACCGTTAACAAGTGTATTTTTAGAAAATGATCCTTTTTTTAGGGATCAGATGTACATTTATTCATTTTCTATAAAAATCATGCAATTTCAGAAAATTTGCAACAATCACTATCAAAGAAAGCTGCTTTTTATTAGAAAAATAATTCACTTACTGGATACTTCTACCGCATGTGTAACATTGTGGAAGTGTGCTGATCTGTTCGCTGTTATATGTTTCTGAAAGATACACCGAATTGAATGTGCCGCAAAAGATAACCATCACAAAACACAACATAAAAAAAGCTTAAAAGCTGAGATAAGCCAAAAAATTGTAAGGAGGGGTGGAAATTGTTTTGAGACGCAAGTTAAGTTTTTTTACACTACCGTATCAGAAAGTAAAGCAAATAAATGACAGCCAGGAAGCCTCTCTTCCTCCATTTTTCTTAGCTGTTTTTCAAGATACATTAAAACTGTAGCATTGAAACAAACATCCTAAAAAAATAGCTTGCCTTTCTGTATGAACAACTTTCTTCAAGAGCAGTTATTTTCGAGTGCTTAGCACTTAAAACATGGCGAACTTGATTAACAAGTCAAAACCATTGATTTCTTAACAGCGACTTTGCTGGTTGATAAATAAAGTACAAAACTAATAAAGGAGTAACACAATAGAAGTTTGTTTTCAATTAACATAATCTATACGGTAATTTACTAAAAATTTTTCTATGTAATCCTACATTTTCTTGCTGCTTTAAAATTAAGTTCAGAAATCTGATAAAGTATTTGGGCAATCACAGCTAATTTTTCGTTAAACAAATTATATCAGAAAGTAGCTATCTAGCAAAAAACTGAAAAACTGACAAGAAGTAGAAGAAAAGTGAAGATATTGAGAAAGTTAAAAACTGCTTTAACTTTCCTGTATTATATTTGTACAAAATAAATAGACATATGTTTCCATGCAGAAGTCAGCTTTTGACAAGCACTTAAATCAAAACTCTCCATGGTTTCCAGCTCAACTAATAATAAGTAAGACCTATGTATTTTATGCCATCTGCACTTGCCCATACTATTGATGTACTTCAGTAGTTCCAGAATATAATACGAAAAAAACTTTGAACATATTCTAGCTAGAGTAATTCCATAATTTATTGTGTATTAAAGTCATTAATCTGTTAAATTTTAATTGGAATAAACAGAGTTAGAAAAAAAATTTTGGAATAAATTATGGTAAAGTGAATAAATCTAGCAAAATATCTTACGCAGGCCTCAAGGTTCAATTTTAGGGCTTGCAACGTCATTTTCATCCAGACTTTGGAATTTCAGTGGTTTGTGCAAATTGTTCCATTTATGGTTAAGGTGATTGAAGAGCACAAAAAAGATATTGGTAAAAAAGGAGTTTAAACAGAAATCACTCAGAAAGATCAGTTGAGAAAATGCAAAATTACGCTTCCAAGTATAGAAGTTCATGAGTGTAATATTTACATAAAAAATATAAATCCGTATTGAATTGTGAAATCATTAAACAAACCACCTTGCTGTGTTGTTGGAGCAGCCACTGAATGATGAGATGCCTCTCGAGCCATTTCTTTTCTGGCCTCGTCTTCTTGAATCAAACGCAAGGTCTCGGATCGTAAATAAGATGGAACTTCGTTCATTTTTGCAACATGAGGACTGTAAAAAAGTGAAAAATAAAAAATAGCTCATTCTTTGCGATCAAAGATAAAAAATAGTAAACGGTAGAACTAACTGCCAAAGAGTGACGAACACTTTTTCGATAGGGAAAGCATTGACTGCAGATTCTCACTATTTTAAATTAAACAACTACAAAACAAGCATTCCGAAAGAACAAATTAGCCAAATAATTAAAGATAAAATGAGACTTACTAACGTTGTATCAGTAATTTGAAAACAACAAACAAATTCAGGCTTAGCCAGTTATTTATTTCTTGTAATCTTCGCTCAAAATTTCTTGCAAAAAAAAGGTTCAAATCAATTTTTTACCACTTTCAACCTGTATGAGGAAAAGTGGCGACAGTGTCATACAAAGAATAATTAATAAAAGCGATACTAAACAGGCAGCTCTATTACCATTTTTTTTATGTATCTTAAGAGAGGTTTGAAGCTTCAGTGTTAACCCTCGCTACCAAAAGATAAATAAGTAAATAAGAAAAACAGAAAAATTAGAATTTTGGACTCCATCTTTATATTCCTAGAATGCCAACTATCATTTCTGTTTAGAGAAAACCAAACAACCAGCTTACTTTTTTTTGTCTTAACCATTTAACACATTTTTTTCTACACAGATGAAACCTTGATCAAAGTCAAAAATGGTATTCCTTTGTTTCATTAACATAGAGACTTGTGTCAATTACAAAAAAAAAAAAAAAAAAAAAAAAAAAAAA